AAGGTCGCCCCTCGTGGTGTCTACACCTCCGGCCGTGGTTCAAGTGGTGTCGGTCTGACGGCCGCCGTCATGCGAGACCCTGTCACTGATGAGATGGTCCTTGAAGGCGGTGCCCTCGTCCTTGCCGACAACGGTATCTGCTGTATCGATGAATTCGACAAGATGGACGACAATGACCGCACCGCCATCCACGAGGTCATGGAACAGCAGACCATCTCCATCTCCAAGGCCGGCATCTCCACCACCCTCAACGCCCGCACCTCTATCCTCGCCGCCGCTAACCCCATCTATGGCCGCTACAACCCCCGCATCTCCCCCGTCGAGAATATCAACCTTCCCGCCGCCCTTCTGTCTCGATTCGACATCATCTTCCTTCTTCTCGACTCACCGACCCGCGAATCCGATGCCCAGCTTGCCAAGCACGTCACCTACGTCCACATGCACCAGCGCCACCCGGATATTGGCACCGATTCAGTCGTCTTCTCTCCCCACGAGGTCCGCTCCTACGTCGCTCAGGCCCGCACCTACCGACCTGTCGTCCCCGCCTCCGTCTCTGAGTACATTGGCAAGACGTACGTCCGCATGCGTGGCCAGCAAAAGCGCGCCGAGAAGAAGGGCGAGCAATTCACCCACACCACCCCGCGTACTCTCCTCGGTGTCGTCCGCCTCGCGCAGGCCCTCGCCCGCCTGCGCTTCAGCAACGAGGTCACCCACGACGACGTCGACGAAGCCCTGCGCCTCGTCGAGGCCTCCAAGGAGAGTCTCGCGGCCGAGCAGGCCGCCAATGGACGCCAGCGCCTCAATGCCAGCAGCAGGATCTACAACCTCGTCAAGACCCTCGCCGACAGCGGCGCCTGCCGCGCAGACGACGCCGACGACGACGAGGAGGAGCTCGGTGTCGAGCTCAGTCTTCGCAAGGTCAAGGAGCGTGTCATTGCAAAGGGCTTCACTGAGGACCAATGGCTTGCTGCTCTGGAGGAGTACAATGAGCTTGATGTAAGTTTTTTCCCAACACCTATGTCGATGAACATTGCTGATAATTCATTAAATAGGTCTGGCAAACGGCTGGAAATGGTACGAGGCTGGTCTTCATCACCTCCAACGGCGCAGAGAGGGACGAATGAGAATTTTGAGCGAGCATGCGGCAGTAGTAGTAGTCGTCTTATCGCGCGGTTGGTGGTTAGCTCAAATCTTGTGTTGTTTTCTCATAGTTTGCCTCGTAAAAAAGAAGCCTTTGGGACTTGGCGTTTTGGTTTTGACATTGTTGAGGAAGATGAAGGAGACCAAGGAGAAGGAGGAACATTCTGGCGGAGCGCTTGCGAGTGGACTAGCTGTCCAGTCCCGTCCGAGATGGAAATAAAAAATAATGAACAACTAGCATCAGATGTCTCTCGTTTCTACATGTGACCGATTCTGGCCTGATTCCGCACTTTTTCTGGTATTTTAGACATTGTTATAACAGATTGGAATTCCCATGAAATTTGGATGATATGGTTGTATAATACAAAATTTTGTTACCCCCCCCCCCCCTTCTACAAGTAGGCATCTCTTGGTACACTAGTACATGTATACACGTTCTCTCTCTTTACACCGTTTTGCTCTCTCTCCCTCAGTCTCCCCTTCTTGGACAGGACAGAGAATCCCTGATTTAGTACTGCAACACGCGCGTGTTGAGCAAGCTCGCCCGCTCCAACTCGCCGAGGACACCGCCGCCAGCAAGAGTCCACTTCTCCGCGACGGACGACTCGTCGATGCGCGAGCGCATGAGGCCGCTGGCAGCCCAGTACTCCATGACGGCGCGGGCCTCCTGGCGGCTGATGCCGCTGACGTCGAGGGTCTCGACGCCGCGGACGGCCTCGTAGACGCGGTCGTCGTAGCCCTTGAGGTACGGGTCGGGCGTGGGGACGAACTGGTCCGCGGCGGCGGCGGCGGACTGCGCGAGTGCGAGTTCCATGGACGGGGAGCGGGGCGCGTTGCTGCGCGAGGTGGCAGCGATGACGGCGCCGCCGTTGGCGAGCGGGGTCTTGCCCGCGAGGGCGTCGGCGAAGAGGCGGACGAGGGTGAGGTCGTGGGCGTGGACGAGGTTGTAGGCCGGGTCGCGGTAGGCCGAGATCTTCATGATGTGGGAGAGGCCGTCGAGGGCGAGGAGGACGGGGGGGCCCGCGGGGTTGGTGGTGAGCTCGTGCCAGAGGGCCTGGAAGGCGGGCCAGGCGAACTCGGGTTCCTTTGCGGCGGTGGCGATGTCGATGAGGGTGCCGTCCTTGGGGACGTGGAGGAGCTCGGGGTACTCCTTTGAGATCTTGTACTGCTCCAGGACGGGGCCGCTGGTCTTGACGATGGTCTGGAGAAGGTTGAAGGTGTAGATGGGCTGGTAGAACTGGAGGGGCTTGGTGTTGGGCACGGGGCTGTAGTCCGCGTTGGAGTTGGTGAGGTCTTGGCCTGGTTTACTTGGTCAGTGATGGACGCTTCGCAAAACATGCCCTCAAATTGTGAGAAAAGAAGATAAGTACCTTCGGGGATGTTAATGACCACCCAGTTGTTCATCAGCGAGTGAGCCATGGCCTGCAGCAACAGCATGCTCTTTCCTGCAATCTTGCCGCCCGTCAACGCCAATCTCAATGTCTGCTTCTCCTTGACGGCAGCATCCAGCCGGCTCGCGAGCTTGACAGTCTCCTCCCTGACCAGCATATGCGGCCTCCGGAACAGGCCCCAGTTCTGCGTCGTCTTGAACGCCTCGAGCGTCCGGAGCTGATCGACCAGCTTATCCGGCAGCCCGACGACGGACCCCTTGCTCTCCGCCGCGGCCAGCGTCTCGTTTGTGATCTCCTTGAGACCCTCCACGGCCAGGGCATTGTTGTTGCTCAGCGTGATGCGCTTGCGGAACGCCTTTCTCTCGCCGGGGGCCGGCTTCTTGACCCTGACGTTGTCCCTCTTCTTCTTGGAGTTCTGGTTGATCTTGCCGCGACGGATGTGCTTTCCAATCATCTTGAGAGTGCGCGGAGCGGCGTCGGCAGACGATGTCGAGAAGGAGGCCGCGGAGGCGCCGGCATATGCGGTGATGACGGGGACGATGCGCTGCGAGAGGATTCGGGGGGCTGTTGCGGCGGCGGTCGTGGGCCTGGTGAGGCACCGCGCGCAGTTCGCTGCGGAAGCCATTGTGTGCAATTGCTGGGGGAAGAAAAGGACGCCGGTTTCCTGAGTCGATTATCGGTAGGGTGGGTATCCGCTCTGGTTTGTTATGATGCCATTCGAATGAATGCCGGCCAGCGTTTCGTTTTCCGTCCGACGCAACTTCGCCCTTGCAGTTTTGCTGGTTCGTCGTGCGATTGGGAAGCTCTCCCCAAAAAGTTCGATGGTAAATTCTCGGGACGTTAAAGCCACACCCCCTGGCAGCACCCAGCGAACTGGGGAACAAGGTGCACTGGCCAATTTACAGCGTTGATTGGCTGCGTCAATAGCCGGCGTGGCGGTGTCAGTTGTTCCGATTCTTATCGTTATCGCCCGTCGAAATTTCCTAAACCCAGCCAGCCAAAGGAAAAAAAGTTCTAGAGTATCCCACCTTCCAGTACGCTGCGCAACCGCCGGATAAGACAACTACCACATTCAACCCATTCGAAAGGAAAACCCAAACGCAAACCCACAGAAAAGACATTTCACCGATCCGAGGAGGAAACACGATACACACAAAATGGCGCTCCCCATCTCGCGCCCCAAGCTGCCCGTCGCAGTCAACAAGCCGACGCCCTACAACTTCGACCTCGGCCTGCTCCTGGCCAACGACCCCAACCCCCTCGAGCTCGACAAGTCCGCCATCGAAGACTCCCTCGCCGCCACCGCCCGCGACGGTGCCCAGGCCCTCATCAACCAGCTCCTCACCACCTGCCCCCTCCAGAGCACCCCCGAGGGCGTCCTCCTCTCCCTCCCGGACCCCTCGACCCCTCTCCCGCGCGAGAAGCCCGTGCCGGTGGCCAAGGAGCCCACCAAATGGGAGCGCTTCGCCGCCAAGCGCGGGATCAAGCCCAAGACGCGCGAGCAGCGCCGCAACCTCGTCTTTGACGAGGACACCAAGGAGTGGCGCGCCAAGTGGGGTTACAAGGGCATGAACAAGAAGGGCGAGGACGACTGGCTCGTCGAGGTCGATCCCAAGGAGGAGGCGAAGCGCAAGGAGGGCACCACCTGGCAGGGCGACAAGCGGAGGGAAAGAATGGAGAGGATCAAACGCAACGAGAGAAAAATGAGAAAGAACCAGCGCGAGGCCGGCGAGAAGCGGGAGAAGCGGTAAAGGAGACGAGCGAGAGGAAAGCGTGGGATGCGGAATGTGTAATGCTTCGGGTTTCGGCACATGGTTACGGCGTTCATATGGTGGTAAAAATCATTTCTCGGCATATTTTGTCTACAGGAAGAGGGCATCGGTATCTCAAAAAGCAAATGGAGGCGCTTTGTGGCCCAAGATTCGGCCCGCCACAACTCATGTTACTACAAGCCGTCAAGTCTTGCTGTGAACTCGTCCTCCGATTTTGTTTTGCAAAATGGGGGAGCATATGACGTGGCTGTCGCCGCGCGCATCCCCTTTGTCCTACATACAAGAGTCCTATATTGTACAGAGATTCCACCGACCCCTGCAGTCATGTTGTTCGTGGCCCTATGAATCGTCACCCGTCCCCCATCCAGCATCTCGTGAATGCTCCTCGCTCACCCAATTCCTACGATGCTACTAAAGACCAAACCACGCTATATCCGCGGCACCTCACCAAAGCAAAAGAAGGAAGGAAAAAATTAGGTACCCAAACCTAGAGCTACTACTAGTGATTGCCACACTTGATCTAGCTCTGGTTGCTCAAGAACCTGCATGCCGATGAAAGCTCGGCCAACGCAGTTTCCTGAAAACGGTAAAATCGACGGCTTTTGTGATACGGTTCGATGCCCTGGGGGTATACCAAATAGCATAATGCTGTGTCGCAAATGAAGAGATACCCGGTCTGTTGTTCAAAGTCATCCGTTCATGCCATGACTTTTGGTGACATCCGATATGGGCTTGGCACAGGACCGGGGCAGGGAGAGTCGCTCGGAGGAGGAAGAACGGAAGTCGTCAGTGGCGTGATGTCGTCAGTGATGTTGTTGTTGGTGATGCTAAAGTGTTCCCTGTACACACGAGTTCCGCCTGGGTATTCGAGGAAGAAAGAAACTAAAGGATACTCAAAATGGTGTTTTAGAAGCCGAGTGGTGAAAGGGGTTTGATGGGTGACAAGGGCCGCAAGTCATTCGAGCCCCGTGGCTCACGGCCGCTGTCAATCGTCAGCGTCGTACCCATCGTCGAGTTGGATGCGACACTGCCGTTTGACTCAGAAAGTTGGATGGGCTTTTTTTTTAGCCGTCTGTCTTTCTCCTTGGTCTGCTGCTCAGTGACAACGCTGGACTGCTTACTGCTTTCCGAAAACGATGCTGCGCGATCGTCCAACGTCACAGGAGCGGGTTCTTCCTGCGCTACGGGGGCCGCAGGCTCCTCGCTCGTCTCACGAGACGGCTTGCGCGGTTCCGAGAGGCCTTTTGGGGGTGGCTGATCGAATAGTTGATATTCCTGCTCAATGAACTTTGCCTCGTTCTTGCAGCCCTTCCAGCAGTCGCGCCAGTCGCAGACCAAGAATCTGAAACAGAATGCGTCAATCTTCATGCATGGCTGGAAGCAAATGCAGAGATTCCTAAAGTCCATCTTATTCTTGTCGGAATGCGCCAGGAGCAAACTGAGGTGGCAGGTGATTGCGAAAAGAAGGTAGTAGTTGAATGGCGAGAGGTTCGACAGCTCTTCGACCAATAGTGGGGGCACGGTTTCGTAGCCGGCGCATTCTCTCGCAACTCGTTCCTGGGCCGCCTTAGGGAATAGCTCATCGGGAAGCTCTCTCAGCCAAGCCTTGAGCATGGAGCCTATGATGTTGATGTCATAGAGGTCCGGCTGTTCGAAGAGGTTTACATCGTACTCTAGAAAGAGACGGTTAGCTTGGCGCCAGCTTTGCGTACGCATGTGTGATGAACAAACCTTCGTCAAACTTCCTCTGCCATTTCTTGATCTGCGGCCCGCTGCCAGGCACACGGTACAAGCCTTCCACATCGCAGCCCTTATAGTTCAAGTAGTCGATCGCGCGCCACGGGAAAGCGGGCATCCAAAACTCCGTCTTGTCTCTTGAATCCTCCAAGCGCTTCGAGATGCGTGTGCGACGCGTCTGCTCGACCAGAGGCAGATTGATTGTCTTGAGTGTGTAGTGCTCATCGTCGATGACAGGCTCCCTCTCCGTCGTGCTTCCACTACGGCCACCCTTGCCGAATAACCGGTTGCTAATAATGTCTCTGCCACTCTTCAGTCCTCCGAAAAAGCCACCATTTTGTGAAGACGAGTTTTGCCGAGGGTGGTGGTCCTTTTCCCTATGATTGTCCTTGTGGCTCATTTCCCGGGGCGACGCGCGGTCTTCCGAGCGATTCCGCCCGGTAGAGTTCACCATTTCTCTGGCAGACCTTTCGGGTCCAGTGCTGGTATTGTTGAGCGAGTGGTTACGGCTCGTCGAGGTGTGCGACGGTTCGGGTTCGACAATCGATACGGGCACCGGGCTGGGTTGCTTGTCTCGAGAGCTTGAGCCGTCCTTGTCGCGAAGCGACTTGCTGCGGCTCAGAAGACCAAATGGCTTCGATTTGGACTTCTTGGACGAGGAGGGTTGGGCGGGAGAAGTATCGTAGTCGGCAGCAGAGGCTAAAGATACGTCGGAGCGGGACGGCAGGGTGGGTGCGGGCTTTTGGACGGAGTGCTCAGCATAGGACGGATCTGCTGGTGAAATGGCATACGGGTCAGCGACTGAAGAAATGGTCTCACGATAGGCGAAACGGGGGATGGATCAGGTAGTGGGCCCCAGCTGCACAGGCAGTGGACACTACGGTCTCAAGAAGGAAAGTTATCCTCGTACCTAAAGGTTGGGTGGGTTGGTTGCTCATGGGAGGAGCATTGTCGGGGCCCCTCGACATACTTTCGCCTCTCGAGTCAGGGTACTGGATCGGGCTCTGTTGGTGTTGCTGGTGCTGGCGCTGAGGGTGTGAGGGCGACTGCGCGGGGGAGACGAGAGAATGGGACGATTTGTTGGCAGACTTTGTGAAATTGAAGAAAAACCCGGCGGCTTTGGAGGGTCTTCGGGATGGCTCGTCGGGGCGGTGCTGTTGTTGACGAGGGCTGATGGGGTTGTGCTGATGATGCTGGCGAGGGGGCGTGTCTTCGGAGGCGCGGTGGAGGGCGGAGGAGATGGCTTGATACTGTTCGAGGTCTTCGTCGTCGTCCTGGTCTTGAAAGTTTCGATGCTCGTCGGTCAACTGAAGAGACTGCTTGCCACTTGCGCTGGGCCTTTTCGGAGTGAACCTAAAGGGAGAGCGCGGAGATCTGGGAGAGGATTGCGATTTAGAGCCAGCGCTTGGAGGAACGGCAGAGGCGAGGGTTTCAGCAGAGCGCGGCACGTCTTCAGGCTGGTCGGAGGAGGCTTGAGATTCAGACAGCGTCAGCGGCTGTGGTGCATGCTTCCGGCCCATGGTAGGAAATTAATAATGTGCCTCTCTCTTTTTTTATTCCCCGGGTAGCTGAGTGAAATAGGAGATTTTGGGGGCCCGGTCAAGGATGATACCCAGAGGGCGCGGCGACACAGACAAGGCGTTGGTGGGCGGGCGGCGATGGGTGGTGGTAGCAGAGAGGCAGCGCAGGAGCTCCTCAATCAGGTCAGGGCCACCCAGCTTGGGGATCCGTACGGTACGAATCCAGCGGCCCGGGGTAAGTAAGGTGAGGTGGATGAGGTGAGGCAGACTCCAGAGAGAGCACCAGGCCTGCATGGGCTACCTCAGGGCTCAAGCTGCACTATTCGTAGTGGTAATAGTGGTATCGGTAGAGAGACTGTGTGTATGTACTGGTGCGGCGAGGAGAGAGAGTAGTGCGACGTGCGACGGGGAGACAGGCACACACAGGGCACAGGACAGGATCAGAATCAGGATCGGGATGAGATGGGATAGGTTGAGATGGGACGGGCAAGGAGGCCCAGAAACGGTCCCTATCCTGATTCGTTCTCTGCCGCAGGAGGGCCAACTGTTTCGGTGTGCGCACTGGGACCAGACGGATCACGCATCTGTCGGGGATATCAGGAGGTGGAAGGGGTAAAGTGCCAGATGGGGGAGACAGGCTAAGGAATGGAAATCTGTGGTAGGTGGGCGATTGAGGAAATAGAGATAGATCACCTAACCTAACATAACCTAAGGCGCGGGCGGGTGATGAAAGTGTGCAATGTAGTATAGAGAGGAAGAGGGAGATGAAGGATGAGAGGGTGAGTGAGTGACTATGTGTGAGTGAATGAAAGATGGAGTTGAGATGGTACCTGAGAGAGATGGTGTGTGAGAATGAAAGTAGGTAGGGAAGAAGGGGGGGTAAGGTACCAGGTAGGTTGGTAACCAAACAGTACCGGTGAGGTAAGGTAAGGTGAGGTCAGGTACAAAGCAAGGCTCCTTGAGATAAGTACAGTATGGCTAGGTATTAGGTGAAAGCAGCCCGCCCGTGTTGGAGAGGTCGGGGCGTGTGAAAGGAGGCTGATGCAACTAGGTATGGGATGGGCATTGCAAGCTTGGGGACGATTGAACCAAAGATGCGGCTTTGTCTTGACTTGTTCTGGGTTGTTCCCTATTGTGTTCCCGTATAAGAACAGCCAGGTGGCTGAAAAAGGTTGGATGTGAAGGAAGTTTCAATCATTATTGAACATGAATAACGGGCAGAATGACTGGGAGAGGAAAGAAAGAAAGGAAGGAAGATAGATGTTGGTACCTTGGGCCAAGGATTGATTGATGGGTACAAAGTTGCAAACTAACAGTTCCCCTACAGACCTGGAGTGCCCGAGGTACCTTACCTACCTTACCAAAGGGAGAGGGTGGTAGCCAGCCCAGCGTGAGGCCTGTCTATGTCCGTGCCTGTACCTGGAACCGGGAGCCAAGCACAGGATCTGTAAGGTACAGCTACATGGGGGGAAGACCCTAAGGTACCAACCTCAGAAGGAAGGCGCGGCGCTTGCTTTTGTCGAGCTCCTGCCTACAAAAAATAGAGGAGAGACTGTGGAGTCACAAGCCGTTACCTCAGACAGTGGTGAGAGACGTCCGAAAAGAGGCGTATTTACATACGCAGTACCTAAGAGGGGGGACTCGGGAAATCTGTCACTGGCAGGAAGGAGCCATGGCCCGGTGTGGATCCGACCCTGAACGAGACCTGGCGGAGGAAGGCAAGAGGGCCGGGGTGGTGGTAACGACCCGGTGACAGGCATCGCCTTCCATTCGAGTCTTGATGCCCGGCGGGGAGCTTGGAGGAAAGAATGGGGGACACAACGCGGCACATGAGGGAGAGAGGGCACTCCGGCCGTAGTTGCCAATTGGTCTGGTGGTGTCAATCCCGACAAGCACCAGGTGAGAACGTTGGGCAGGTCGCTGTGGGGGCCTCGGGCTGTGCTGATTCCTGAATGTCCTGGACTTCTGAGATTCCCTCTCGCAATGGCCTGACACCGCATCACACTTCATTTGCGGCTTAGGTACCTACCTTGCTCCAACTAAACACTAACATCATTTGCTGCGCTAGCCACCACCTCGTGTTGGACCTATGCTACCTTTCCTTGCCATACCTTATTCAACACGACGTATTGGAATACCCTCATCTTGTTGCTCAACTCTCTTTGATTACCATGTCGCCCATGTCGGCTTCTACGGACACGGCGTGCGTGTCTACCCTGGTGCATTGGTGCCGTCCGTTGCCGGTTAGGCCTCAATGCGGCTCTGGCCATTGAAACCGATACATTCTTCAATCTGCCTCCTTGCTCCATCCATTATCCCTCAGCACTGCAATTACCTCAAGCGGTCTTCTGCCACCAAACACGTCCGAAGAACCGTGGCTGCTTGCGGCCTAGTTGCATTAACAGCCTTAGTCGACCAACAACGAACATGGCCAACGGCTTGCCGCTTGCCAGTCTCATCCGCCAGTCGCCGCGCACAGATCGTGGTCCGGTCCTCCTGTAGTGTCGATTTGGGCAGCGCACGTCTGTTTGACATTGACATTGCTCAAGCTATTGGGAAGCCATACCTGCCAAGCACCATTCTGGACGAGCCGTCTTGGATCGCAGAGTCAACCATGCCAGCCTCACCATCAGGTCGCCTTTACAAGTGCCTTCTTTGTGGACTCGCGACAACCAACAAGTCGTTCGTTAATAGCGACCACCAGCTTGGGCGCATTGTTTGTACTAAAAAGGGGATACATATCCCAACCCTATCGGTGATCTCTTCGTCCGTGTCACGATTCGTATTCGCAAGCGGTATACTCAGACTCAGCACCCAACACGATCCCGGCCAATGAAGGAAACTTGCTCCGATGGCGATGACGGAGTCTGTTCTCTGCCTTTTGCAGATGATTTAAAAACACCAAGCTGAAAGGGATCTCGCTGGGAGTCGGCTCCTCAGGTGTCCCATGCCAAGGCATTGAATGAATACCCTATCCAACTCGACTCTTGGAGGACATTGCCCACTGGACTGCCAGGAGGCCAGACTCTTGAAACGCAGTCAATTCTAGGATTGCCACGTTTTGCATCGCCTGGAATGTGAGCAACGCCAGGGGTGCTTACTGCTTGCAGCCGTCCATGTAAGCTTTAAGCGTTGCATTACCTCATGACACAACTTGCGGTCACCCCTTAGAACCGGTCATCTTTCTAGTCGTCTATCTCGGGATACGTTAATTGGCAATACCAAGACGGTCAGTGCCTCCGCAGCAGTACGGCCGTCTGTGGTCCCGCCGCTCGGGCATCAAGCTGTGCGCCGTTATATGTCGTGATGACGGCACCTCCGAAGTCCGATAGGCGCTCCGCAAGTTCAGGTGACTGACCACGAGCGGGTTACCTCAAATGTGAGGGAGGGGATGAAGCCTGAAGCAAACCCGTAATATGGAGCACCACGTGGTCAGAACACCGCGACAGTATGTACACTTGCAAGACGAGGCTAGGCGTTGCCGACAGAGAACGGAGCAACAGACTGATCTGGCATGATGTGACAAGTCGCGACGCAGCCAGCACGCTATCGACGCACTCTGTGCGTTTCTTCTGCACGTTCAGACCCTTCCAGAGTGTTTGGAAGCCCGAGTCGAAGATCCCCTTACTCCGTCCAACGGTGAGCTCGGCTCGACTCGCTCAACTTGCCTCCCTGGCCAGACAAGAAGACAAGAAGACAAGAAGCTTGCCGGCTGCCCACTGATTTGACGGCAAGGAGTCGCGCTACTGCGCGTCCATCTGCAAAGCACAGGCAACACGAAGCCATCTAGCATATCATCGCCTCCCAAGTCGTAAGCCTCGGACTGGTTGGCAACCAACCAATGCACGTATTCTGGCTTTCGTTTCGAACCGAGCACGTCAAGTGTTGCCGCAACGTGCCGGCTTAAGCCTTATCTCAAAAGATTGTGCCGAAAACGTGCACTCTCTTTGGTCAGAGGGCTTATTTTGAGCAAAGTTATCCAGAGGGACGAGACGACGGGTCATGGCGCAGAAGAAGTAGAAACTCTGCCGAACTTTACGCTAGAGCTGTCGTCATTCTCACTGATATCAAGTCCCGCGTTGCCAATGAAGGTGGTTAGAGATCGACGGAACGGAAGCGTGTACAAGGTATCAAGTATCTATCACAGCCAATACTAGGAAGTCACTGTTCGCTGTATGGCTTCTCGTGGAGAAGTGGCCTCGGCATCAACAACGGAGGACGGTTGAGATTACTTACGTTCGATACGAGATATTCGCAGATTCACTTGCCCGAGGCGTTTTTTGCTCTAGTTGGGAACTTCCGCAGCACTATAATCAACTCCAAGCCCACGGCGTGTCGTCAGCGGTCAAGTGCCTCGCGGGCGGATAGCGGGTTCGGTTGCTAAATATCAACGATGAGTTACCCACTTGCCGCGGCGATCTCTCTCGGTTATGATTTGACAGACTCAAGCCTAGTCGAGGATACAGCTAGCTTGTGCCGTATCGCAAAGCAGCTTTACAGCCATAACTTCCGTACACCAGCTCTAGCAACATGAGCGACAGGACATGAACGAAGTCTCCCAGAGCCTTACCATGGAAAGGGGATAGCACTCTGCGTTCAGGGCCTACGAAGTACTTGGTCTCTGACAACGGCGTCATGGTTCGCACAGGCCTGAATGCCAACGTACACCACCGTTGTCCGAAAGGAGCTTAGTTCAGGCACACAACCGATCACTCTGAAACTCGGTAGTGTTTCTTCGACAAACGCTGGGAAAAGCCCCGCAGGCGTGGGCACGATATGTAAATGTCAACAACGCCCCGAACGGTGTCCGGACGGGAAAGACCCAGAAAAGAGGGTTGGTACGCGCACATGGCAGCGTGGCAGCGTGGCTTCGCCTCCGTTGCTCCTGGCCTGGCACAAGCCTGGGTGATGGCTCCAGCTGTCAATATGGAAGTGGCACGTATTCTCGTACGGATACGGAGTACTGTGTTATGCCCGCGAGGACCCGCCTTTACATAGAGTCTGGGTGCGCAGATTCGGGCCCAACAACGCTGCGTTCTTCCTCGGGAGAACTGGCTCTAGCCCAAGCCGTCTCAAAAGGGAGGGTGCCCGATATGTCATAGTTCGCCCGGCGGGGTGTGAGGTTATTCGCAGGATCAAGCCTGCACCATCTCCTTCCAACTGCCCAGTCCTAGCCACCTTCTTCTACTGTGTACGGTGCCGTCAAGGGCGGCTCTGGTGACCCCGTCTGTACTTGCGATCTTTTGATGATGGGTCTTGCGTAATCCACATCCATCCAAGATGAGATCGGAAAAAGGGCGTTTCTAAGCCTTCCTTGTCGTCGATCCCAGAGCCTAAAGTACTTCTCCGCCATCTCGTTACCTCTCCAGGACAAGTACGTCTTTCAACACTTATTGGACGGCAAGTTTCTGCAAGACCGGGTTCCAGCCACCATCAATAGCCGTGCCAAGCATCATCCTCCTCAGTTTGGCGGAGGTAGTTATTTGTTACACACTACTCCTACTAGAAGAGCTGCCACGAATGGATTCGGGAAGATGATAGGATCACGAAAAATAATCCGATCTTGCTGCGGTGCTTTGGGGATCGTAAGTTTGCATGGCGGACATGTAGTATGGTGCCAAGAATCCAGCCTAATCCTGTTTAACGATCCCAGGTTAAAGATGAGCTTGGTTCTCAGGTCCGTCTCTCGGTCAACTGATGAGTTCCTTAAACCCAACTCCCGGTTGACCCCAGTTGGCAATTCAGCTGGCTGCCTTTCAAGTACAGTAACTAAGGTAGATAAGGTCATGGTGCATCACCGCATAGAGTGAGCGAGACTATCACCAAGTAAGGTAAGGTAAGAGACGGCCAGAAGTTGCCGGATACTTAAGACGTCACGGACGTCACCTTCGGATCCGTTAAGCATGGGGTGGGTTACACACCTCGGTGAGGGCGGCGAGGTCACCCCACACTAGATGGACTTCACGGCCCGGCAGTCGGCAGAACCCTGCGTACCGGCCCTGCACCACCATTACCTAAGCGAACGACCTCACTTCATCCATCCTCTCACGCCTGCCTAGGTATTATTGAGAAAGTTTGGTTCGGTTTTAATTCTCCATAAATCTTTTCTGATCTTACCTCAGATACGAACGCCCGGATCAAGTCACACGAAAGGGGGAAAACCAAAAGAGAAAAAGGGCGGCGTCATGGCGGCCCAGTTCGAGAACCTGCCAGACGAGCTGAAGCTGGCGACGGCGGCGCACGTCAAATACGTCCAGAGCCTTGATACCCGCAAAGACGAGTACGACTACTGGCTGACGGAGCACCTGCGCCTCAACGGCCTCTACTGGGGCCTGGTAGCGCTGCACCTCCTCGGCCACCCGGAGGCTCTCCCGCGGGACGAGACGATTGATTTCGTGCTCTCGTGTCAGCATGAGAGCGGGGGGTTCGGGGCCGCGCCGGGCCACGACGCGCATATGTTGTACACTGTTAGTGCCGTTCAGATTCTGGTCATGATTGATGCGCTGGATGAGTTGGAGGCGAGGGGTAAGGGTCAAGGGAAGGCGCAGGTTGGCAAGTGTAAGTACATTAAAGCACTCTCACTACGTCACAGGTTTTGGGGGCAGTGGGCTAACACTCGCCATCTCAAGTCATTGCGGACCTCCAGAACCGTGAAAGCGGTACCTTTGCGGGAGACGAATGGGGCGAGGAGGACACGCGCTTCTTGTACGGCGCCTTCAACGCCCTCTCCCTCTTGGGCCTGCTCTCCCTCGTGGACGTCGACAAGGCCGTCGCGCACATTGTCGCCTGCACAAATTTTGACGGCGGGTACGGCGTCAGCCCGGGCGACGAGTCTCACTCGGGCCAGATCTTCACGTGCGTTGCGGCGCTCGCCATCGCGGGGCGTCTGGACCTTGTGGAGGCGGATAAGCTGGGCCGGTGGCTCAGCGAGCGGCAGGTTGCGGGGGGCGGGTTGAATGGCAGGCCGGAGAAGGACGAGGACGTGTGTTATAGCTGGTGGGTGTTGAGTAGTCTGGAGATTATCGGGCGGACGCACTGGATTGATCGGGGCAAGCTTGTTGCGTTCATACTGAAGTGTCAGGATCCGGAGTTGGGCGGGATTTCGGATCGGCCGGGGAATACGGTTGATGTGTGGCATACGTGCTTTGGGATGACGGGGTTGAGTTTGTTGGGGTATCCGGGGACGGTGGTGGTTGATCCGGTGTATTGTATGCCGAAGCCGACGATTGATCGGGTGCTTGGGAGGAAGTCGTCGTGAACTGTTGAGACGGAATATAGGAAGGGTTAGCGGATGGATGATGGCTTAAGGTCAGGCGCCTGGTTCTCGATATATGTGTTCACATAAGTAGACTTGTGGCCTGCCTCAGTAGTAGAGGTATGAGGATGCTGGTCGAGAAGGGAGCAATAGTGTCGGCTTGTCCACAGTCTACGTAGCCTCATTTACGACTTGCTGGGAGATAGCCCCTGGGATACTTGAAAGCTTAAGATACCCATGAGAGCAATTTAATGATACGTAAAACAATCCATCATCAGCCTCATAATACAACACGAGTCATTCCAGTCACCGTTACGCCAACTTGTTCTTAAAGTTGGAAGGTGAATCAATCTACAAATTCCCGTTCCTCTCCATTCACACTCCCTACTGCTCTACTTCAGTCTAAGGCTTAGTCAAATATCTGTTGCAAGTGTGATATCATCCTCGTCAAATGTACTTTAGGCATATGTAGTTGCTTCTGACCTCATGGCCATTGAAAATATAGCCTCATCTCGTCCAGAAGTACCGCCTGCACTAAGGTACCTCAAGGTTGAACTGATACGCCTGGAGCGTTTCACTGGCTCGCCCGCTGAACCCTCATCTCGAAGCCTTGTAAGGTACCAAGACTTCTCACACCGCCCGACCCTCATCCCATATCCTATTTCGGCATCAAACCACCCAGTCACGTGCACTGCGGTCGGTGTAGGCTTAGCTTCGTGGTGATGCCCTCCACTCCGGAAGACCACCCATCCGCTCACCGAGCGGCCCCACCACACGCGTCTGTCGGCCTTTCTCTCGTCTCTCATACTTCGCCCTCCGCCTCCATCACAACAAACCCATCTTCCTCCTCCACGCCGTCGGAAGTCTCGATATCTTCAACCTCTTGGAGATTTCACCAACAACCACACCATTCTCTTGGACTTTGATCGTCTCATTCGGTCGCCTGTCCAGGTATTCCTTCCTCTCTGCTTTCGATTACAACACTGTCCCGACACTTCCACTTCTTTCGAAATACACCCTTTGTACGACACCGTCGCATCTGTGTTTTTCTTCCCGTCCCAGATTCGTCTGTACGACCATCATCAGATCGCCTTCAACCTTCGCAAAATCCCAGTTCCAAGCACTGCTTCTGGACCAACATCCTCATCCTCCTCCCGCTACCCATCGGGGGAATGTCAGCAATTCGCAGATACGCATTGACAAAAAGCACTTGAAATACCAGATTCTACTTCCACACCCGTTTCTCAGGAAGTTCAGGGACTAGGTACGTGGTATTGTTTATTTTCATGTCAAAATCATCACCGAACACCTTCTTTGGCTTCATTTTTCGCGTTCTCGTCTTTGTTTTCCCTTCATGCAATACCATTCAGATTGGTCCGTCTCTTCCGTCTCCTTCTGTTGCAAACCATTGTCCTTCGGCTTGATCTCACTGCTCTTGTTCTTCCTGGTGAACATCACCATCGAATGTTGTTCTCGTCACGGTCTACTTTTCATCGAACGATTGCTTTTGTCGCAACGCTTTGATCGTCCCAACCGTTCATTCCTCAGATGCCCCGTCCGAGCAAGGTTCTCATCGCAAGTTTTCTGTTCTATTATTCGTCTTCAAATGCCCTTTCCGTCTCAACGCTTGGGCATCTGAAGATTCCTCACGATGTGGGTGATACTGTCTATTCTGAGTGGTTTGTTCAGACACGTTTGCAAGCGCAAGTGCTGGAAAACAATTCCCTGACTTTCTTTTCTTAATATCCTGTCAAGTTGAAGAGGCGAGAGCCACCTTCAAGTGCGCTCCAACTTTGGCCCCTTTTCTTCAATACAGAGACAGCGAGTGCTCGTCTCTGCTCCTGCTTCAGGAGCTATGCTTGGTTCAAGACACTCCTACCAGTCCTGTTCAACCCGGGATGGCGAGAGCTGGTCTTTGATCTTGCCAGTGTTGTTCAAGTTGAGACGGCGAGTGCAAGTCTTGTCCAAGGTCAGACGACGAGAGCCAGCCTCTGATCCCGTCAGTCTTGTTCAAGTTGAGACGGCAAGTGCCAGTCTTTGATCTCGCCACCTTGTTCAAATTTGGACGACGAGAGCTAGTCTCTGATCTCGCTTGATATGAGACGGTGAGAATTAGCTTCTGATCCCGCCAGTCTTGTCCAACTTGGGACGGCGAGAGCTAGGATCTGATTCTGCTGTTCTTCTTGGACTTCAGACGGCGGGAGCTACTCTCTGCTCTCGCCTATCTTGTCAACATATGATGGCGAGAGCTATTCTCTGCTCCCGCCAGTTCTGTTCATCCAGGAATGGCGAGAGCCAGTCTCTGCTCCCGCCCTCTTGGTCCTACAGCTGAGGAAGGGCAACAGCCCTGGGCTTCTTGTACCCGCTCTATTCTCTGCTCTTCTCTTCTCCTTTCTCTTCTCTGGGCTCAAACTCTTTCTTCTTTCCTCTACAAACACATCGACAGTCTTGGTTCACTCTTACTTACTTTTCCATACAGAAGCAATCTAGTTCCTTGGATTGGTGATACAATCTATCAATCAGCGCAGAAATTCAGCAAGATACGCGACTACGGAGAGTCTTCTGGCTGTATTCAGGACACACGGTAAGCCATTGCCTGAAGAACCACGAGTTTTTGGAGAGAAGTCCTTACTAACGAAGCCAATCTCATAGAACCCAAATACACACGATAACCCGTCTGTTTCCCGTGGTCTTCAGAACCAACAGCTGATCTCTCAACTTAAGCTCAATCCGTGGTACTTTGGTAAGTCTTTCACCTTCATCCAGCGAGTGAGGCTTGTCCGTTGCGGCACGGTCGGGGTCACCAATCGCACGGCAATTTCAGGATCAAATTGCCGTCATTCTCCCGGGCCAATGGGCAGATGGTCGGCGACAACACGTTCATACCGGAGGCTTGAGGGTCCGCATTGCCGATGCCTTCCTCAAAGTGACATTGCCCCTTTACGTCAGGTGACAAGACCGGGACTTGCCTCTGCTCCTTCATCAGGGTTTCCAACTGTTGAGAAAGAGCCGGTGTCACAGCTTCCTTCATCTCAAAGATTTCTGCCACTGACGAATGTATTTTGCAGGAAAGAGTACCTGAACCTCAAGAACCACCTCTTGCCAGATTTCGATCTCATACCAGCGTACCTTCTCCGTTCATTTTGGGACGGCAGGCTTGTTGTTACTATGGATAACATCATTCTTCCCGTCTTTCCGAAATGGCTCCTAGACGTCAGGCGGCTCTTGCTGCTCAAGCCGTGAGTACATCCCTTCTCCTATCTGGAGTCTATGCCCAACCTTCCATTTGGATGGCACAACAGTCGTTATCGACACATCCGTAAGGTTCTTTCGTCGGATGTTCCCAATCATCGACATTCCTCTTCCCATCACAGCCACCCTTTGCTTCCACTGACACCTCCCATTTGCACTGAGCATTTCGACTTCACTCCTTGGCTTTCATT